CTTCCACGCCCAATGCAAGATCCCACTGTGTAAGGTCCACGCTGACAAACATGTTGACTGTTGTGTTGCAGCGCCTGTCTGCGTATACGAGCGTAGCTGGAGCCCACGGCCCACAGAACTTGACCTCCAAAAAAACGCATGTCTGATTCGCGACCGTATCCCTTCTCCTCACCTCTGGCTCGGGCGTGATGCCGTCCACATACCGAGCAAGCAGCCATCGTACTACCACTAGGTTCGTTGTGTACATATATATAATTACATACAAATACCGCCTCCCCCAGGTCCCGGGTCCCACAGCTCCCCGTGACATCTCGGGGACGCTCCCGGTACTGCTCCGCCGGCCTTTCCGGGGAGCCTCCACAGCGCTCCAGGAGGGCCCAAGACGCCTCCCAGGAGCCCCCAGAATGCGAAAGGATGGCCCAAGACGCTCCGAAGCAGCCCAAGTCAGCCTTCCGACGGCTCTCGAGTCACCCAGGTGGCGTCCAAAAGACCCCAAGAGAGGTCCGAGAGGCGTCCCGTGACGGCCCGACGAGGTCAACATCGTCTATTTTCATTGTTTTTTCAATGTTTTTGGCTTCTCGCATTTTCGAGCTTCCAACGGTCCAAGAGCGCCGAAGAGGCTCCCAAGACCGCTCCAAGACCACCCAAGAGACCCTCAGGATGGCCCCAAGACGGGCCAAGAAGGCTCCAAGACTGCCGAAGAGGCGCCCAGGACAGCCCCAGACCACCCCAGAACAGGCCCAAGATGGGCCCAAGAGCGGGAGCAAGAGGCTTCCAGAGACCTCCGAGAGGCCTCCGGGACCACCCAGAGGCCCCCAACACATCCCCGATCCCTGAGAGGCCCCGAAAAGACCCCGACGAGGCTCCAAGAACAGCCCGCGAGAGCCGTCCCGAGAGAGCCCAAAGAGGGTAAAATCATTGATTTCTAAAAGGGTTATTGTAATGTTGTTCGCCTTCTCACGTTTTCTCGCTTCCAACCGTCGAAGATGATTTTCAAAATGGACTCCTACTCGGAGATCCCACACATGCCCTGACATCTGGCCGGTACCTCGCCTCCCAAGACGCCCAAGGACAGCCCAAGACGACCCCAAAGAAGCCCCCAGAACGTAAAGAACGGCCCAACACGATCCCGCGCAGCCCGAGACACCCTTGCGACGGCTCTCCAGGCATCCAGGAGGCCTCCAGAACCCCCAGGGGTCCGGAAGATTCCACACCCCTGAGGGGCCCGGCTAAAAAAACCCGCGAGGCACAAACAAAAAACAGCGCCGAAGAGCGCTGAGGAACTGAAAAAAAATGGAAATGCCATATTTTTTTGTTTCTTCTCACAAGTTTGGCCCCCGGTCAACTCTTCAACAGGCCTCAGTTCAGACCCCCCTCACCTCCCAAAAAAGAACCCAGGAAGCCTTTGAGGGCCCCAATTCTTTGAATACCAAAAAAAGAATCAAAAAAAGAAATTCATGATTTCTGCGTTTCCGCACTTCCCCTTCTCTACGATTCCGAGGCTTGCGCAGGGCCTCCAAAGGAGCCCCTGGACCTAAGAAGCGACCAACATGATGTTACATGAGTTAGCCTATCAAGCCTAGCTAGAACTTGAGCGCGCGCGAAGCGCGCGCGATGGTTCTAATACGTGTGTATATATATATATAACACATCCTGAACCCAAAGTGGTCCCTCGTTCAGCGTCTTGGCTGCATCCTGCAACAAGGTCACCCTGCCATACGGTTGCTTCTGCTGCTGCTCGGACGCATGAGGCGGAACTCTCTCTGTCGCCATCGGCGCCCAGTGGATGTGAGGCTTGAACCTTAGCTCCTGGCTCAGCCAGGATGGCCACTGGGCGGACGGGAGAGGCGGACGCAGAGGGGGAAGAGGAGGCAAGGAGGGAGAGCCGGATGGAAGATGCGGTGAACACATGATCGGCCCACGATCCCAGAAAGAAACTTTAGAAACTCGAGGCGGCATGGCTACGTTTTCAAGACGCCTGATTAGGCGGTAAGCAATTGCGATGCTGAAAGTATCGATCGTCAAAGATTCTGCTATGCTGCGCCGTGCTGGAATGCGATGTGTATTGTCGCAATGACTTGCTCTACAGTGTTGTGGATCATGTCGCCCTTGGCCTCCGAATCCTGACCAAACTGATCTGGATCTTAAGCTCAAGCTGCCTGAGCGCATAGCTGGCCCAGAGCTGGTTGCAGTCGAAACGTGTGGGACGCTCAATCAGCTCGAGCTCAAGATCCGACTCAGCTCCGAAGCGGGACGAGACGACACGGGGAGCAGGGCGCATGGACGCGCCACGGAATGTGCAAAGGGCGCACTTGGGGATGCGCCAAGGGACGTGTCAAGCGACGTTGCAAGAGACGCGCCACGGAACGGGCAGGA